TGTGTTTTATTTCCAACTGCTTAAAATACCCAGCCTCAAAAGGTAGGAATGAGACAAAAGACTGTATTAACATGATACAAGGAAATGAACATACCAACTGAAAGTCACAAGCTACATTCACAGTTAAACATTTTTTTTGCCAGAACAAAACAAGCCATGCTTACACCCTAGATCAAAACACTTGGTAGGCAAACCACTCCCTGGGTGGAATCCCAAGGGAACTGGAGTTAGTTCCTTAATCTTTTGTTTGAGGTAGGAGCAAACTACTTCCCTATTCCAGGAGGACAAGTTCTGGCAATTAGTCACACCTGTTGGCAATAACGTTGAGAGAACAGATTTCTCTGATTTACAAGTAGGTAGAACCTTTGTCTTAGGTAGAACAATGACTTTGAAGGAACTAGAAACAAATCCCTACTCTCTGACCTTTGGTCAGTGTGGAAATAGGTTTTTGGGGCCTCCATACCAAATGTTTCTCATCTGATCAGATATAACTTGCCAAAAAGGAGTTAGAGCTGGGGCAGGGTTTTCTTTTTGACTTTTCAGGAGAATAAAGGTATCCAGCTAAGGAGTCTGAAGACCACTGGACAAATGAGACATGTGAAGAGCAAGGAGCCACTTGTTCTTCCCGGGTCCAAAATAATCAAACAGAAACTATATTATTTAAAAACACTGCTTGGCCCATCAGTGCTAGCTTCTTATTGGCTAACTCTTACATATTAATTGAACACATTTCCAGTAATCTGTGTATTGACACGTGATTGTGGCTTACTGGTTAAAGTTCCCAGCGTCTGTCTCTGACAGGCTACATGGCTTCTCTCTGACTGTGTCCTTCTTTCTCCCAGCATTCAGCCCAGTTCTTCCCGACTAGCTCTGTTCTACCCTGCCCTGCTCTGCTATAGGCACAAAGCAGTTCTTTACTCATTAATGGTAATCACAGCATACAACGGGAAATCCCACATCAAAAAGACTGTCCAATCTTGCCAAGACTTGGTAAACTGGTTTTTAAAAGCTTCTTGCCTCTGAAAATGGTCTGTCATTTACTCTAGGCCTTAGCAAAAGTTGGTTTCTCCAACACTGAAAATGAGACTTTGGGTGATTGCCCAGGTAACCAGTCGTCTCCATCATTTTTAGAATGTTGGAAGTTGCTTACAATGTACTTCCTGTTTACTTTGGTAATATTATATCCTTCTGGATTCTTTGATGGAGTTGAAGAATAGATAGTTATAGTTATAGTTTTCTTTAGTCATAATAAAATAAATGTAATTCTTGCTTGATATCTGTTTTGTTAAATGTAATTTTAGTTTGCTAAAGTTAAAATCTTTTTTATTTAAACTGAAAAGGGAAATTGATGTGAGCAGGTGTGTTGCTGGCTACCTCTTGACCAGAAAGCAGCAGAGAATTGACTGATTATCTCATTGAGTGAAGCTTGAAAAAAACCTCAAAGCCAACCCCACAGTGACACACCTACTCCAACAAGGTCGTACCTCCTAATAGTGCCACTCTCTTTGGGGACCATTTTCTTTCAAACCACCACACAAAGTTAGCCACTTGGAAGAAACTGCCATAGCCTTGACTACTGACAGCATGTTATCCAAATTGGAAAATCAGGACACAAAAGAAAGACATTGCTGAACTTTGTCAAGACAAGATAGGACAGTCCTTCAAAATTCCTGCTTCACAGAAAAGCCTGCCAGATATTCTAAGCCTGTAGACCAAAGTTGGATTCCCCAATGTTGCAGGGGGCTGCTTGTTGGTTCCCAGCCACCCAGTTATCTTAGACCCAAAATAATCACACAGAACCTGTATTTTTTAAATCACTGCTTGACCCATTAGCTCTAGTTTCTTATTGGCTAACTCCTACATATTAATTTAACCCATCTCTATTAATCTGTGTTTGGCCACGTGGCTTACCAAATAAAGTTAAAGCACATCTATCTCCAGTGGCGGCTCCACGGAGTCTCTCTGACTCATCCTTCTTTTTCTTATCATTCACTCTAGCTTTTCCCACCTAGTTCTGTTCTGCCCTTGTCATGGGCTCAAAGCAGTTCTTTATTCATTAACCAATAAAAGCAACACATAGACAGAAGGACCTCCCATACCATCCCAATATCGCATAGGAATTTTGGGTGATAGCCCAGGCAGCTAGCTGCTTCTGTTATTTATGCAGTTTTGTAACTTGCTTGCTCTGTGCTTCTTGTTTACACAGGTCATATTATATCCTTCTCAGATCTTTGATGGGGTTAGAGACTAGGTAGTTATAGTTACAGTTTTCCTTGTTACTAAATTCAGAAAAAAATACTCACAAAAGAGGGGTAAATTGTATAAGGTTGAGAGACATAAAACTTTAAGTTATTTATCTAAGAAAATATTTTTAGGTCTCAAAACCTATATTTAGGATGGTAATACTGGTTATGATAGAAAGTGGTTTGATCTTATTGAGATAGAATATATAATACAACACTTCAAATTTTCCAAATACATATGACTGGACATTGTAGATGTAATACCTGATTATTAGTCTTACTGTAAAAAGTTTTACTATATTAGAGTTAAAATCTTCCCTTTTTATTTAGGCAGTACCTGATAACTCTTCTAATTGTATAAGATTTACTGTATTAGAGTTAAAACCTTTCCTTTTTCTTTAGACTAAAGGGAGAAAATGTTGTGGGATATTGTGATTGTACTCTGACACTTCTGAGACTTGCCAATAAAGTTAAACCTTGGATTAAGTGGTGGAGCCAGTGACTAACTGATCACAATTGCCTTAGAGAAGCCAGCAATTTGAATAGAAATAATGCAAGAAAAAGGATGGGAACAAGAGTTCCAGCTTTCTCTTGCTTCTGGGATGAGGGGAGAGATGCGGTTCTTGTGGTGTCTCCAGCAAAAGAGCAAGGTGAGCTAATTGTTACTTAGCCTCTCTGAGCTAGCAGGTTTTCACTTCAGTCTTTCACTCCTGAGTCTTACTGATAAATAAAACAATAGACTTTTTCTTTTGGTTTTTCAAAAAAGGGTTTTGTAGGTCCTTCTGTTTATGTGTTGCTTTTATTGGTTAATCAATAAAGAAACTGCTTGGCCTGATAGGGCAGAACTTAGGTAGGCGGAGAAGACAGAACTGAATTTTGGAAGGAAGGAAATCAGAGAGCTGCCATGGAGATGCCAGGTCAGACAAGCTAAATCTTTTCTGGTAAGCCACGACCTCATGGTGAACACAAATTAGTAGAAACGAGTTAAATCAAGATGTGAGAGTTAGTCAATAGGAGGCTACAGCTAATGGCCAAGCAGTATTAATACAGTTTCTGTGTGTTTATTTCAGGTATAAGCCAGCTGGGTGGCCAGGACAAACAAAGGACCCCCTCTCCTTGTAACAGGGTTTCTCTGTGTAACAGCTTTGGCTGTCCTGAAACTTACTCTGTAGATGAGGTTGGCCTCAAACTTAAATTTAAACCTACACATATTTTCCAAAGCAGAGCTGGGGCCATGGAACCAGCAGCCTCAGCAGGCTATGGCCTGAGTGGCTGGAAGATACTGGCTGAGGAGCCATGGGGCCACAGACAATAATTAAATGTCAGCAAATTCATGAGTTCCTTCACTTTGAATGCATATTCTAAAGGGGGAACTCAATCTACTTGCTCGTCAAAGAATACTGTGTTTTTCAGTAGATTTTTTAACAAACTTGCTACCTTAAGTACCCATGCAGAGTTGTTTTGATGGAAACCACTTAATATCTTTTGTAGTAAAATTATCCAGTTATTTCTAAACTGAATTCAGCAATGCCTATCAAAGCCCACCTTATACCTAGCACGATCCATAGCCGCAAACCCTAACCCTAGCCTTATCCCAACAGTAAAACACTAACAGCTATACTATTCCTAGCAATACCAACCATAACTACATGCCTACCCCAACAAAATTACTATGTATAGTTTTCTCGAAGAAGTCCCTGAGCATGTTTTCTTTACCTGTGAGCACATTTTCTAAAGAGCAAACTCCAAGATCTTCCTCATCTAGGAGTACATGCTTTTTCCTTTGGCTTTAACAAGCAAGCATTCTGTAGCCATGTATGTAGAACAGTTTTAATACTAGCAATACATAATCTTTCACACCAAAACAGTCCCCTTAGTTCTAAACTGGATTTAGTCATCACTGTAGAACTAGAAGTATGATTTTCTCTATTAGACAAATGATCATATTTCCTGCACTTACATGTCTGTTTTCTGAAAAGGAAACTTAAAGTTCTTGCTCAACTAAGACTTAATCATTTTTCACTTCATTGTAACAGATCTTATATCCTTAAGCATACAGCATAGCTGTTTTGATGCATGCAACTCTCTAGCTATTGCAGGTAAACAAGGTACTTCTCTGCATACTGTACTCAGTAATCACAATACAACAAATCTATGGTTTTCCCTAGGCAGATCCTGAGCACAGTTCCTTAACTTGTGCCTGTGCATTCTAAAACAGAAAATCAAACTTCTTACTCTTAAAAGAATACTGAAGTTTCAGTATATTTTTAATAAACCTGCTACCTTAGACAAGTATGAAATTGTTTTGAAGAAAGTCATCTAATATCTTTTGTAGGAAAATGAGTCACTTCTTACTAAAAAGAATTAAGCATTGGTAGATGTAGAACTCTAGTGACTGCTCTGCTTCTCTGAGCCTTCAGCTTGCACCCCGATAGCTGACTCCAAGTTTTTATTATTAAGATCAATTAGAATTCGTGCTACATGTGTGTCTGATTTCTAAAATAGGAAACCCAAAGTTCTTGTTCTTCTTCACTTGGTTGTAACAGACCTGATTTTCTTAAGCACCAAGCAGGGCACTGTGGTTGCTTTAACCTGTTGGTCTTTATTCTTTTACTCTTTTGGGGGCCTGCCACCCAAATAAAAACAGAGAGGATTATTCTTACTTATGAATGTGCAGCCTTTGCTTAGCTTGTGTCTCGCCCATTTTTCTTAAGTCATCCCATCTACCCTTTGCCTCTGGGCTTCTATTCTACATACCTTTCTTTCCATGTAACTCTGTGGTTGACTGTGTAGATGGGTGGTTGGCCTCTGCTGTCCTCACACTTTCTTCTTGTTTCTTCTTTCTTTTTCTTCTCAGACTTCTCCTATTTATTCTCTCTTCCTGTCAATCCCGGATATTCTTTCCTGAAAAGCTATTGGCCATTCAGCTCTTTATTAGACCAATCAGGTGTTTTAGACAAGCAACATAAGACAAACATCACAAAGTTAAAAAAATGCAACATAAAAGAATGCAACACATCTTTGCACCATTAAAACAAGTGCTCCACAGCATAAAAAAAAAAACTTAATGCATCTTTAAATACTATTCCATACAGTGCATTTCACTCCCAACAACATTTAGTGAGTTTTATACAACAAAACTAAGGTTTTCTCTAATAGACACCTGAGCATAGTTCCTTCACTTGTGCACATGTTTTCTAAATAGGAAACTCAGATTTCTTGCTCTCCAAGGAATACTACAATTTTCAGTAGATTTTTTTTTAACAAACTTGCTACCTTAAGCAAGCATGTAGAGTTGTTTTGATGCAAATCACTAAATATCTCTCTTAGGAAAACAAGCCACTTCTTCCTAAACTTAATTCAGCAATGCCTATAGAATCCTAATCCTAACCCTACCCCTAACCCCAACAGTAGCATTAGCCTTAACACTAGCCCTAGTCTTATCCCTACAATAAAACACTAAAACTTATACTACCTCTAACAACACAAACCATAACTGTAACCCCAACCCAATAAAAATAATATGTATTATTTTCTCTAGTAAGCCACTGAGCATGTTTCCTTTGCCTGTGCAAGTGTTTTCTAAAGAGCAAACTCAAAGTTCTTTGTCACATAACAGTACGTTACCAAGGGGATCCTTGGTTCTCCATGCAGGCTTTCCTTAGGCTCCTAAGCAGAGCTCTTCTGATTGAAGCAATACAATATACTTTTCACACAATATAATAACGGTTTCCCCTCCCTAACATCCTTCGACACACTTTCTACCTCCTCATCCACCCAACCACCTCCCCAAAACAAATACCACATTTAAAAAAAAACAAAAAAAGAAAACAAAACAAAAACAAACAAACAAAAAAACCACCTACTGGGACTAGAGAGATGAACCATAGTAAAGAGCACTTGCTGTTCTTGTAAAGAACCCAAGTTCAGCTCCCAATAGCCACATGTTGGCTTACAACCATTAATAAATCCAGTTCCATGTGGACTGATGCCTTCTTCTGACTCTGCAGGCACCAGACATGTTGCACATACATACTTGCAAGCAAAGCGCCATCCCAATTAAATAAACACACAAACCCATGCATGTATAAATATATCTATATCATGTTGAGTAAGTACAATGAACACCACAGACGTGTATGAGGATAAAAAAACTAATACACAGAAGGCACGAGCATACCCTGGCACAGAGCACGCTCCTATCAGTACATTATGTATTTTTATGTTGCTGTGATAGAGTACATGACAGAAGCAACTTAAGGAGGAAAGATTTATTTCAGTGTACAGGTCAGAAGCTATTAGTTCATCACGGCAGGAAAGGTGTGGTGACAGACTGGGTCTGTGGCGGTGAGAGCACGCCGTAATTGCTTGTATGTGACACTGACCAGAAAGCACAGAGAGCTCAGGTCTGAAGCAGTACTGGACTGTCACTTACACAGCCATCCCCTGTCCTATTTCCTCCAGCTAGGCCCCACCTCCTAAGGCTTCACAACCTTTTAAAACAGCATTACCATGTAGAGACAAAGTGGTCAGGGTTGTGGGAGGATATTTCACAGTTAAATCAAAATAGGAGATCAGTGTGGTTGCTGAAATCTTTAATTCCCGTGCTCAGAAGGCAGAGGCAATAAGATCTCTATGAGTTTCAGGCCAACCAAATCTACATAGATAGTTCTAGGCCAGTCAAGACTACATAATGAGACCCTGTCTCAAAAACAAACAAACAAACAAAAAATGTCAGCATCAGTCCACATAATTCAACTAAATGTTTACATTCTTGGCACGAGGCTGAAAAATGCAACCATCTAAAATAAAAGTATAAAACAAGGATCCTGAGAACTAATAAGTAAGAGTTTGAAGGGATTTATATACATTTCTAAAGCACACAAATGAAACCCTTCCTGCAGCCTGTCTATCTACTGTACACTTGAGTAGGCTCTCCACAGCTTGCTACTGCTGACTGAAAGAAAGGACTAAGCCAATGTAAGTGAGGACCAAAACATAATTGCAAGATGCTTTGAAACTTTGTTGCAGTTTGGTTTTGCATATCTCTTAAAACTTTTGCTCACCAAGTATCTAACATATGTATTCTATTCAAAGGAATGTACATCACACTACCTGATAACTATTAAAGAATATTTTAAGATTTATTTTTACTCTTTTATTTATGTATATAGGTACACATTCTGAGTGCATTCTACATGCCATACAGAGGTATAGACAGGAGTCCATGAAAAGGGCATCAAATCTCCTGATCACATCCACATTTCTAAATGAATCTTTCTAAAAACAAACAAAAACACTTTAATGCTTGGCTATAGTGGCATAAACCCTTATAGTCCTAGCATTCTGGAGGCAGAACAGAAGCAGGTCGATGGATCTCTGTGAGTTCCAGGTCAGCCTGGTCTAGAGAGCTAGTTCCAGGACTGCCAAGGTGACACAAAGAGACTCTATCTAAAAGAAAAAAAGCAAAAAACCTTTTAAACCAAGAATGATGATGCATACCCATAATGTCAGGAAGCAGAAGCAGGAAGAAGCAGGAAGTTTGAAGTCGGCTCAGACTGTGTAGAAATTCTGCGTCAACGGGGTTAGCCCATTTATTGATTGTCAAATAAAGGCAGAATTTTTTAATGCTTTATTTTATTTTTTAGTAAAGAGATGAGCATAGTATGCACACCACTAATCTAGCACTCGGAGGGAAGAGACAGGAAAATCAGAAATTAAAGGCCATTTTGAGTTGTGGTACACACTTTTAATCCCAACACTCAGAAGGCAGAGGCAGGTAGATCTGTAGCCAGGTTAGGCTAGAGTGTACTCCAAGACAGTCATGGGTACATAGAAAGACTTCTCTACATGAGGAGTTAGAGGTCATCCTGGACTACACAAAAATCTGTCTCAAAAACAAACCAAACCAAAAACAACTAAAGAAAAGAGTCATGATACATGATGGCAAAGGACTATAATCCCAACATTTAGCAAGCTAGAATAGGCATGCAGCGCACTGAGAGTCAACTTGGGCTACAGGGCTACATAATCAAGATGCGGCCTCAAAATAAAAAGACTAAAGAGGGGCATTCTGAACTGTCTTTGATGCAGAATTCTGCCTGACTCTAGGACCTACCTTTTCTTGCTCAAATAAATTGTGTTAAATGTTGGGTGTGAGAGATGGCAGGTTTGGTGACATCTGCTTGGAAGATGAAGGCAGGAGAACCACAAATTCAAAGCCAGACTCACTTATGTTGAAGTCCTGCCTCAAAAACCCAAGAGCTAGGAGTGAGTCAAATAGAACCCAAACTCATTTCTACCAAGGAGAAGTTCCTGAGGAAAGACAAAGCTTGTCTCTGTGCCAGTGGCAGACTAGGCAGCTCACACCGACAAATCGTGGGCCTAGAAGCTGGAATACTTTCATTTCTGCCCCCCAATTCACAGATAAAGGAACTGAAGCATGGAGCAGTAATGAAGCATTTTACACAGCACAATAGTTTAGTTAGGATGTAGTTCAATGGTAGAGGGCCTACCCAGTTTGTATGAGACCCTAGGCTCAATCACTAATATTAGAAAAGGAAATAATCAAAACAATAGCTGCAAATGTAAACTAGCCATAGAGTGCTTATCTAGCATATACAAAGCCCTGAGACTAATATAAAGTTAATCACTATTAAAAAGAAGTCAGATAAGCCCTTGTCCCTATAGTAGCCAGTTCTTGATTCTAACTTGGCTTAAACAGCAATTCTGATGGAGGGTGGCAATGACTGATGGAGGAATTACCTATTTGAAAATACCAGATACCTTGATTTAAAATATTGCTCAATGGTGGAGTGCAGTGATATGTAAAGTAAAGCCTTTCTATCTGGCTTTAAATGACATGTACAGTAAAGCCTTTGTGTCTGGCTTGAGAGAAATGACTCAACAAAGCCCTTGCTATGTGTGGGTTAATCAGTAGAGGTTGAAAAATTGTTTTGAGACTGTTTAAACCTTGAAGCATTGTTTCTCTGGAGTCTGCACTTGGTGCTACACGAGAGCTTGCAGCTGCACTGATCTTGTTCCTAAGACACTCGTGGCAGACCTGGAAAGCCATAATCAAAAGGGACTAAGATGTGTGTGGCTTATCTGCTCTGATGGGCAGAAAGAGCAAGATGACTTTGGTATCTGGAAACTTTTTCAGCCCCAATTTAAGCCTGTAAAATTGTTTGAATGAAGTAACTAGAGGGAGCTAGTCAGGTACCAGTCTTTTCCAAGAAGGCTGTACTCCTCTGCTCCTTTGGAAAGTGATCTGTCTCTGCTGCAGCACCTATGACCCAACATCAAACAATATTGGAGTGCTTGCCTCACATACTCAAGGCCCAATGTTAGACACCAACACCAACAAGCTATATGAAACAGCAGAAAAGGTGAATCAGACTCTCCTAAGCCAACATCCCAGGAATGTGCTCCCTAGGTGATTCTTACAGTTTAAGATGTCCACCTAAGAGTACCTACATAGTCATCTTCTGTTTATCACAAATGAACTTGTGAACTGTTTATTCCTTTCATCTCAACCCCTCAATACTTGCTTACTTATTGTCTTCCATGCGCCAGGCATTATCAGGTCAAGTTCAGCTCTAATGTGTTTCAGACATCCTGGTAACTTCCTATGACATTAGAACTTTTAAGTTTGCTGACAATTGGAAAGGACTGAGTAGATTTAAACACATTTAAAGGGCATGGCTTCCCAGTCGGTGCAGTCAGGCTACTTCAACACACACACACACACACACACACACACACACACACTACATTTCCTATGGAAGCAAGGGAACTCAGAAGGGATATGACAAATGAATGTGACCAGATGTTAAAGCTAATTATAAACATTACTAGTTTTAATTGGAGCCTCTTATACTTCGTTCAGAATTACGGAAGTTCCTCTTGGTTTAACAAGAGTTCTGTTTGGCTACTAATGTTGACCAAGGCTATGTCTTATGAAGCAGATTATCCAACTGTTGAGGCTTCAAATTTCTTGTTGTGGAGTTCCCTGCTGCCACCTTCCTCTTCCCTCCCATTTTCTTTGTGTGTCCTGACCAAATCCCACACTACATCTACTGATATGTGACTACGATGCACTTCTCTCAACATGCCTAAACCCAATTCCTTAACGATTCTCAGGAACTAATAAAGACGTTTGGGTTGTTCCCTAGAAAGTCCTTTTAAAATCCATCCTGGCCCTGAACCAACATTCCTTAACCTCTTATGTAAACTCAGTCCTCTGCTCCAGTCAAAGCTGCGGAACCTCGAAAGTCTGTCCTGGGGATAGGCTGCAGTCGGTTGTAAATGTCCTCAGTAAATGCTTGGGACGGGATCAGGCTGTCACTTGGAGTTTCTTCCATAAATTAACCAGACCCACCTGCAGAATGCTCTTGCGTTTTCCAGAGGTTGAAGCTATACTCCCATATCAGCCCTGACCCTGGGTCCTCCCGGGCGGGCAGCAAGCTGGCTGGACGTTTGCCACGAGAGGGCGCTCCCGAGCAGGGTCTGTCTCAATCTTTAGTTCTTCAATTCAGGTTTGCTTCGAACTCGACACTCATCATTCTCCTCCGTAGCCTCCAGAGAGCTGGGCTCTCCGGCACGTGTCCAACATCCCGGCCTAAAATAAGAAGTTATGAACGCCTCCAGAATCCAGCCTCCAAGCTCCCGGTGGCTCCGCCCCTCGAATGGCCGCGTGGAGCCAAAGCCTGGCTCCGGCGAGGCTCCACCCTTCCCCTCCGCCCCACCCCACCCAACCACAGTTGCGCGTGCGTGCACGTCACAGGCTACGACTCGGGCTGGAAGAGGCGCTGCGCGTGACGGCCTTCGGCCAGCCAATGGACGATCGCAACGGAGGATTTCAAATGTGGCGGCGGTAGTTGTATCCTGCCTGGCGGAGCGGGAGGCCAGTCAAGCTCGCGGTGCTGTCAGCGGCTGTGGGCGGCTGTGAGCGGCTGTGAGCGGCAGTGAGCCGCTGTGAGCGGCCGAGGTACGGGGCGGGACAGGTGGTGAGCACCGGGGTTACCCGACGGGGCTAGGCCATTTCAGCTGGCGGGAGTGTGCACCCCGCATTTGGCAGGACTTTTGTTCTAGCACATATCTTGTACGACGTTAGCTTGCTTAGTTTATGCTAGCAAAAACTCCTTAGAACTTTGCTTTTAAAGTATCTAAAGGGGCTGAGGATGTGGCTTGCAGATAGATTTTTGCCTAGCATGCACAAAACCCTCGTTCAGTTTCCTGCGCTGTTCAATTTCCTGCGCGCCCGCGCGCGCACGGGAACAATCTGTAATCAGTTTTAACTCAGTTATTCTTCTCAGACATCTCCACTGCAAATTTTAAAAACTTGGTGGTGTTAGGGTGGCTGTCTTACACAACCCCATTCGTACTTTAAAAGAGTAGTTGCATTTATTCTGTTAGATACCCCCTCCAATCTATCGTACATACATTGGTAGAAAAACCTTTAGATGAGATATAGAGTACCAATTTAAGGCCCCAGATATGCACGGAGGAAAAATAAGCCCTGCAGAAATTACCCAAGAAAGGAAAAGATTCAAAAAACACTTAACCAAGAGAAGAGAGTCCTTGTGGTGAAATTGTATGTGTACATTGTGAGTGGCAACAGTTTGCAATTTGCAGATCTGGAAGTTGTAGTCTAGGATATAAACTTAATGAAAAATAGCCTGGCATGTTGAAGCATGTCATTTTGCCCCCCAAATAAATAATTAGTAATAATTGCTAAACAGAACCCCTGGTATCCATATAATTGCTTCTGAACTAATACTGTAATCCTAAACACTAAAGGATGGTCATAAACATTGTAAGAAAAGTAAGGCAAAGTGTGTGGCTCTCACATTTGGTTTCAGATATTCAGGAGGCTGAGAATATCAGCGCTCTTAAGTTCAAAACCAGACTGGGTAACATAGCAATACCCTGTACCAAATAACAATAAGCAGATCCCGCAGTGCTTAGAATATTGTGTGTCTCCAATGAGTGTCTACTAGAAAATGAATAGTTGACACTTACATTTCTTATGAAATAGCAGAAGAGAAGATTATTTTAGAAACATGAATGACATTTTACAGGATTTTTTTTTCTTATCATGGGCTTGATTCTCACATCTGTTTTTGTTGAATTGTTTTTGAAATGAGTTTTACTATGTAGCTGAAGCATGAATTCATGATCCAAGTGCCTTACCCATCTTAGTAGCTTGGATTATGCCACAACACCTGACTATTAATGATATGTTAAAGCTAAAAAAAGAAACAAAATTATTGTCTTTTTTGAAGTAAGTTTACAATTTAGTCTGTCCTTAATTCCTTTTTCCTAAATTTTATATTTGAAAGTATCTGAGAAATGTTCATTGTCTTTTTTTTTTTTTTTTGATTCCTAGACAAAGATGGTTAAGGAAAGGTGTCAGAAAAAGTCCTTTCAAGATAGTCTTGAAGACATTAAGAAGCGAATGAAAGAGAAAAGGAATAAAAACTTAGCAGAGGTTGGCAAACGCAAGTCCTTTATCGTTGCACCTTGCCAAGTACCCAGTAAGAGATTTTTGTGATATCTTTATATACCATTCGTGGCATTTGTGTGTGTATTTGTGTGTGTGTGTGTGTGTGTGTGTGTGTGTGTGTGTGTGTGTGGCGGGAAGCAGGGCTCTTGCTAGAGGAAAAGTTCTGGGGCCCTGCTATTACTCTCCGTTCTATTCCCCTGGAAATGGTCTCTTACTGAACCAAGAATTAGACTGGCAACCAGCCAAGCTCTAGAGGTCCTCCTGTGTCCATAACCCTCCAATACCTTAGCTCCTTTCCCTGCTCCGGTACACAGTGCTGGGGTTACTTGTGTGTATGGCCACATCTAGCTCTTTATATGGCCTCTGGGGATTTGAACTCTGGGCTTCATTAATTGATTGATTGATTGATTGATTGATTGCTCTTAACCACTGAACCATCTCTCCAGACCGTTTCACCTTCCAAGTGTATGTTTAATTGAAAAATTGAAATTTTTAACTTATAGCTAACACTTCTACACTGCTGAAAAATTACCAAGATAGCAACAGGTTGTTAGTGTTGGCTTTGGAAAATGAAAAATCCAAAGTGAGAGAGGCCCAAGATACCATCCTACAGCTGAGAAGAGAATGTTTCTATCTTGCATGCCAGCTATATACAGTGAAAGAGAAGCTAACTTCCCAACAAAGTGAAGACATTGATCAGGTATGTTCATTACAAAACTTTCTTATATAGTTTTGCTGGATAAAGTGCAATTTTATAAAGCTCTTTATTTTAGATATGGAAAGTATTCTAAATACTATTTAGAGAATCACTTAAAAAATAATTTATTATGTTTATTTATTTAGGTGTGTATCTGAAGTTCAGAATACAACTTCCAGGTGTTATATAAACATGTGACATACATTTGAGTCCCTTCACATATAATGTGTGCATAGTAGACAGTGTAGAAAATAATTGCTTTCTAGCAGATGCTATCTCTTCCTGGGCGCCGTTCACACCCATGACTTGTGACTCCAGAACCCGACATGCTAAGTCAGGAAGATTCAAGTTATAGGCTAACCTGAGTTGTACGATGAGTTCTTATCTCTGAAAGAGACTTCTAAGATTTTGTTTTTGTTTTGTTTTTTGGTTTCTGTAGTTGTTGTTGCTGTTTGATTTTTCGAGACAGGGATTTTCTGTAGCTTTGGAACCTGGCCTGTCCTCAAACTTGGAAATCCACCTGACTTTAAGGCTTGTGCCACCACCGCCTAGCTTAGATTACATTTTAAAGATTATTTTCTTTCAACATTTTAATCTTTTTTTCCCCTTATTCAGTAAATTACAAGGGATCAGCCTATCGGCATCTGAATCTCCTTGGTGCTTTTCAGAATTTATAAATGATTATTTTTGTTTATTTTTAGTTGTGTGTGTGTGTGTGTGTGTGCGCGCGCGCACACGCGCGCATCTGGGCACGTGTGTGCTAGTATGGATATACATGGAGGCCAGAGGCATCAGAGCTGTAGTTACAGGCAGTTTCCGACTACTACACATCTTACTGTTGAGCCAGATCGTCAGCCCCCTCCTTTCCAGAATTTTGGCTGAAGTTCCAAGAACTTCTCTTCAGTGTCTACTTAAAGGCTTAAATACCAGAAGAGTAGATCTATGTGTGTCACTTGTTCTGAACCATTCTGTGCTTGTTCTTCAGTGTTCAAGGTTTATTTCTCAGTAGTAGAGAGCTTTTTTGTTTGTATGTGACAGGATATCAATATGTAGACAAGGCTGACCTCGAACTCACTGTGTAGACCAGGGTGGCCCCAAACTCACAGAGATATAGCTGCCTCAGCCATCCAAGTGCTAGGGTTAAATGTGTGTGCCACCACTAAGATGTTTTAGTCTAAGAAGGTTTTCTTCGGCTGGGTCTGTAGCTCAAGAGTGGAATACTTGTCCAGAATGCATAAAGTCCTGAGTTTGTTCATCCTCAATGCTGCAAAAGAAATTGCGGGGAAAAAAGGGAAGATTTGGAGCAGAGACATTCTGGGGTAAAGGTGTTGGCCTCTTGTTGATGGGACACAAATGGTAGAAAGAGAAACCTGACTCCCCAGAAAGCTGTCCTCCGACATCCACACATGGCATAGCACGCCTTCCCACCAAATAAATAAATAATATTTTAAAACGCTGAAATGTAGAGACAAAGGAAAGGAAGTTTTTAGACATGCTTCCTTTCTGTCTTTAGTTAATTTGCTCACTAACAGTTTCTGGTAGTTCCCTGTGTTTTATAATAAGTCTTTATATTTTAAAGATTTATTTTTAATTATTTATGGGGTGTGTGTGCACATGCTTTCAGATCTCCACCCACCCAAGGCTGGAACTATAGGCAGTTATGAGCCATCCAACATAGGGGCTGGGGGCATAGCAGTGAGTGCGAGGGTCCTAGCACTGAACTTTCTCTAGTCCTATAATTAATCACTTCAATTATACTGCTACTATACAATTAAATATTCGTTTCTCCTTTTTCTTGAATAATGTTACTACTTTCTTCTTTTGTTGTGTTTTTTTGTTTGTTTTTGTTTTGATTTGGTTTTGGTTTTGTGAGACAGGAACCTGTCCTGGAACTCTCTCACAGAGATGTGTGACTCGGCCTCCCTGAGTGCTGGGATTAAAGGCGTGTGCCACCACCACCCGCCTTAATGATACTACTTTTTTTCTTCTTTTTTTTTTTTGTGAACAAATTTCTTAACTTTTATTTTCTTATTCCCTGAAATGGGATCCATGGTTTTGAATATGCTAGGCAAGTGTTCTATCACTGAGCCACATCCCTATCCCCTCTAGTTATTTAACTGACAATAAAAATTAAATTATATATATATATATGTATATTTTATTTTATTGGTATTTATTGAGCTCTACATTTTTCTCTGCTCCCCTCCCTACCTCTCCCTTCCCCCCATTCAATCCTTTCCCAAGGTCTCCATGCTCCCAATTTACTCAGGAGATCTTTTCCTTTTCTACTTTCCATGTAGATTAGATCTATGTAAGTCTTTCTTAGTGTCCTCATTGTTGTCTAAGTTCTCTGGAGTTGTGGTTTGTAGGCTGACTTTCTTTGCTTTATGTTTAAAGACCACCTATGAGTGAGTACATGTGATAATTGTCTTTCTGTGGTCTGGGTTACCTCACTCAAAATAATATTTTCTAGCTCCATCCATTTTTCTGCAAAATTCAAGCTGTTGTTTTTTTTTTCTG